TTAATTTTTTTACTTAAACTAAAATTATAATATAATATAAATAAACTTAGTAATATTAATAAGTAGAATAACTTTAGTAAAGTAAATATATATGTTAAATAGTATTGTATAGCGTTATTATATATTATTATTATATATATTATAGTTGTTTAAATTATAGTAATTACTTGTTAACGTTTTTTTTAGCTTATATAGTTTTTTTTAATAAAAAAGCTTTATATATTACTAGAGACGTAAGAATTATTATATACTATTATAATAATTATTACTTTTACTACTTAAAATCTTTTTCTATAAAATATCTATTTATAGAAATAGTAATTACTACGTACCTCTAGTAATAGTAATTACTATTACTAGAAAAATAGTAATTACTATAGCAATTACTAGGCGCTTCTAGTAATAGTAATTACTATTACTAAAAAGTGGCAACCCTGCCCCCCAGCTTAAAATAAAACAAATGTATAGGCAGAATAAAAGCTAAACAAAAGATAGACAGATTTATAAGCAATTTGTATAGTAAATAGTTAAAGAGATGTTGAGAGGATAGTAGAGATGTCTTTTAAACCTAATTATTGTATAAACTCTTTATGTTTTTATCTTAGTAGCAACTTAGTAAGACTGTCTGCAGGCATCTAAGCAGTAAGTTTCTAGTTAACATGTAGTCTACTAGTAGAGATCTCTTGTTGTAACTAGCTCTAGTGTATGTTAACATGCTTAAGCTTAGTTTAAAGCTTTAATAGATCTTTTATAACAATTCTAATTGTCTGCTAATTGTTGCACTTAATAGTAGAGGTATTATTAATTAAAAGCTAAAGTTATGTAAAGAACAGCTTCTACTACTCTATGTTAGTACTAGGTTGCAAAAGAGCTAGAAGCTCTACCTTTATAGTTAATTTAGTAACAGTTTATTATAAGGTAGCTTTCTAGTCTACTACTAGACTAAAGAGCTTAAATAGATGTCTATAAGAGCTTTAACAAGTTGCTAGATTGTCTGCAAATGTAGTGTCTAATACACTATAGAACTAGAGCTCTGCATAATTAAGCTTATAAATTGCGCTGTTTTAAGAGTTTCTTAATATTCCTATTATAAGATGTTTTATACAGAGTAGGTAGCGCTAGTAATGCAGGGCTACATCTAGGTGCTTATAACTAGGATTGGTAAGGTGGCGTGCTAGTATTAAATGCGCATACGCGATATCTAGTTGTGTAAATGATGCTATGTAGGCGAGTGAGCCTACTAGCTGTTAATAGAGCTTAGTCCTCCTATTGTTAGTAGTCTTAGTAGAGAGCTCTAGAGTTTCACGCAAAGGTATGTTAAGTAGTTATTTTCTACTCTGCTTTAAATTAAATTTAGTAGTAATCTTATTAATAAAGAAGTCTTAGACTAGGTAAATAGATTTAGTAGTCTTTATAACTTAAATACCTAGGAACTATTTTAGTTTGCTAAGCTTCCTAATGTTATACACATGCTAAAGGTTATGTTTAAACTGCTTAGCAGCCTTAGCATTAATAAGATGGTATAGTAGTATAATGTTATTAACATATATAAGTATAATAAGCTTATTGTTAATAAATAGGCAGAGAGCTTTAAAGATCTTATAAAGTCCTAGCTAATTAAGTGTTATTTTAAGCTTTAGGTACTAGAAGTAAGATAATTCTTTAAGTCTGTATAAAGCTTACAGTATGTTAAGGTACTCTCTGTATTCTGCTTAAAAACCTTTAGGTGTGCAGCAGAACAGTTGTCTAGGGAGTTTAGCATTAAGGAAGGCGTTAGTAACATTATATTGTTAAGAGGTTAGCCTAAATGCAGCTATAAAAGCTTATTCGAGCTCTAAAGATGCAAGTAGCTGTAGTAGCAGCATAGGTATCGCCCTATTGTTCTTAGAGATCTTCTTGTACGCAGATTCTAGCCTTAAATTTAGATAGGTAGGTAATAAAAAGAAGCAGGTAATTATTAAGACTATACTTAAGCTATATGCGTAAGGAATTTCCTCTTAAATAGCATTTATAGCTAATATAGCTAATTCTTTGCGCGCTAAGCATAATCTAGGCTATGTTAGCATAAACTAGCCTTATATGTTTGTAAAGTGTTATTTAGAGCTTAAAGTAACATTTAAGCGTAAGTATAACTATAAAAGAGCTCTCTGTAAGAGTTCTAGAGTAATTTAAAGCAGGTTTAGCCTTATAGAGAATATTAAAGCTAAGTATAGCATCTAGAATAATAACATGTACAACTTTAGCAAGACAGGCTTTATAATTAGCTAAATATTTTTTAACTATACTTACACTTAAAACTTTACTTTAAGCTTTAAATAACGCTTTATAAATATACTTAGCTAGTTTATGTAAATATAGCCTTAATTACGCTTTGCGCGCAAAGAATTAGCTATATTAGCTATAAATGCTATCTAAGGGGAAATTCCTTGCGCATATAGCTTAAGTATAGTCTTAATAATTTCCTGCTTCTTTTTATTGCCTAGCCTTTATAATTTAGCTATAGAATTAGCTTGTAAAGGTTGTCTAGTGCTGTAGTTATTTATTGTCTTTTATAAGACCTTATATATAGCTGCAGCATGTTTCTTTAAAAGTTTTATGTCTTATTTAAAATCTTAGAGTGTAAGCTGTATCTAATGTTTTTTTTAGCGCGTCTAAGTAGTGTTGTTGTAACGATCCTCATGAATCGTTCCATCTCAGATGGCCCGGAAGGCCCCCGTATCGGCCCCGACCCCGACCTGGCCCCGACCCCTGCTGTACCCCTATTCCTTCATGTATTTAGTCGCACCTCGCCCCTGTAGCTAGCTCAGTAGTTTTCTGATATCCTTTTGTACAAGGCCTATAGGTGTCAATGGCATTCCCAGGTTCAGAGTCCCCACGCACTCCCATATGCCTCTGAGTAGACTCCCACCGCATTCGGACCCATTGTCTTGCCTGCGCCGTTACAGTTGTTAGGAATGCATTAGTGTAGGAAAAGTAGTTTAGTAGGGTTTTAGCAAAAGTAAGCAACTTAGGTGTGTAAGCAACTTGCCTGTGAAGTATGTTAGCTTTTATTATAAATTTGCTAGCGTGCTTAAAGCAGCTCTTAGACTAGTAGCTATCTATTTCTGTG